CAACAAGATCCGCCACCACCACCCACCCGCAGCTATGCGCGAGCTGTTTGGAAACGAAATGGGATTTCTGCCCATCATCATTCGCGAATCGAGGTGACGTGGGCTTGTGGGACCACTTTCGTGAAGTTACACATCTTTCGCACGCCCTAGCTCGCTCACTATCAGTATGAACAGGCTGCATACAGATATAGTTGTAACAACAACATTCATTAAATTCATTAGGACTGTACCCGATACCCCTAATACAACGCTGTACATACATTCATTCCAGCAAAGTAGGCGAGAACCACAGATTCGTGTCCCATATAAATTAATAAGGAGAAATAAAACTGTAAAATGAATTATACATATATAACTATGGACTTTGATGGTATAATACATAAAAAAACAACTTTCACTCGTATTTGTTAAGCATCATCATGATATTAAACACGGTAATAATTATTGACAGTTCATATATGGTATCTGTTGATGTGTTGAATTAACATATGTAGGTAACGAAGTATAAATCTTAATCACGTTGTACCTTTTAAGTAACACATGTGCACCAGTGCACATGTTACGACAGTAAAGAACCTGGCTTTGTCGGGGAAAGCTTATCGCAGCTCCAAGCCATCCTGTTGCTGACGTTCCTTGGTGCGGTATTTCCTACACTGACGGGCGAAATTTCCACATTTCTCCGTCAAGATCTGCTGCCGTTCACATCACACTGCACGTCCAGCAAAAATCCGCCCACTTGCCCGCCCAGTCAGTCACTGCTGGTCATCTTTTCTGCAAGCTGACGCTTTTGTCCCATCCCAACCTCCATTGCGGTTGGCCTGCTGATCGACCACTGCATTGCGGTGACGACACTGGATCGTATCTCTCATCTCAACGCTATGATGAAAATCCTTTCGAGCGGCGTTGTTTGCTTGCTCAAATATTGAACGTTTCCCAGTTTTCGAAAAGTATAGTTGTACATGTTGAGTGGCACAGGGTCCAGGGTTTTAGTGGTTGTCATATTAAGTATTCACTGTAATATGTAGTTTGTGAGTCGTCGTGCGCGTTGGAGTTGCTAGGTGTTTGTTCGGTTTGGAGCTACAGAAACACTCCTGCGTGAATTTCTCATCGTCACAACTCGGAAAATGTTTGTTAATTTCGGACATGATGCGCCACAGTCGTGTGCCCACTGGAATCTGGTGGTGGTGTCACAGTGCTCCCGTCAGCACGCGAATCACGTTTGCTCGAAGTTACGTGCGGAATTTCTCACGTGCTCATCACCGCACCACACGGATTGCCGATCGATCACCCCCACCCACCCCACCCCCTGGAATCATGGTGGATGCGGTGATCCTCACGTGTAAATCTAGTTCTAACCGCGCCCAAAAAGAAAGCACTCTCGAAGTTCTACCACTTCCATCATTGATTTCGCACCAACCCAGTTCTGCTGTATATCGTAAACATAAGCCGAGTTACTACTATACAAGTGTCAACAAAACGAACACAACTTTTCTGGATTTACAGAAGAGTTTGACAGAATGGGTAATCTCGTACATTACCTCCAGCTTTGCCCAATGTACCTCCGCCGTACAGAACGTTGGACAACGGGAACTCCCTGTCCACCCAGACTCCTCCAGACTCTTTGCTGGACCCTGACAGCTGCATCACTGTGACTTCCCTACATCACTGACTCTACCAGTGGTGGTTGGGGGGGGGAGACGACGAGTCTAGCTAGACTAGACTACAGGCAGCTGGGCTGAGGTTTGGGTGTGACAAGTGTGGGTGTCTCTTTGGCTCGCCAAAGGCCAACGATGTAAAGTGCAGTTGAAAGGCCAAAACTGTGGGAGTGGGACTCATCACATACGTACACGGTCATCACAATCGTCAGCCATCCAATCCGCTTCTGCCCCATTCCCAGCTTCCCCAGAGCTCCGCTCCACACCACCACCCCCACTGTGACGCCGCTGTATACTGAACATGATTGTGCGCGAGGTGTGATGTGGTTGGCTGTCATATTACGCAGATCCGATCGCACACCTCACAACCGCGGGTGGATCCAGCACTTCCACCAAACCCAACGCGAGTTTCAGCGCAGTGCGCAGGAACAGCGGCAAAATCGGGGTGGGGTGGTGGGGGGATGTCTGTCGACGCGGAATGGGGAGATTTGCCAGCGCCAAACCCCAGGCAACTTAGCCGTCACCTGTGTTACGCCTGGAAAGCCGTGTGCTCCGGGAGAAAGCACTGCACTCCCTTGCTCCAACTGTGCGGCTCATCCACTAGAGGTATAAAGACTGAGGCGTGGAATCAGAAGGTCATTCCGCAACACTTTCTTCGCTCCGCAACAGTTCACTCCCTCACAAACAGCCTCCTTAGCTTCGCGCTGGCTTGGGTCACGGCAACTCTTCCGTCCTATAGTATCCTTCATTCGCCGCGCCGCTTCGCCTCCGCAATGAATTTCGCGGGCTTGTCTAGTACCACTAGTTTCAACAGGCTCGAGCAGTACGCGATTACTGAGTCTTCCGGCCGAAAGAGCCTCGCCTCGCACGCGGTCCGCCCCCGAATCGACATCGCGGCGGACGCGGCGTCGCTCGCGGCGTACCTCCCGTTGTTCCACGCCCTCTCTCGAATCAAACAGCAGCAGTCGTCCGCGATTTCCGCTATTGACTCCCCGTCACGTGATACTAACGCGTACAGCCCTCACCGCTCCTGCGTCAGCCACGGAACCAGCCCTCACAGCAAGACCATCCCGGCGAGTCGCGAAATGCTGTCTTTTACTGACGGCTCACGGAAACGTGCGAACAGCGATACGGAGGTAGCTTGTGGCGCCAACGCTCTGCTCACGCTCCGCGTCGCCGCCGCGTCGTGCGCTGCGGAAGAGAGCACCGACAACAACGCCGTTTCCGCCGACGCGCAACCCTCAAGCTTCCGCTTCCTTTCGCCCCACTCGCAAAACTACGCCGCCGCGGCGCCCGCGTCGCCCAAGCGCAATTTCGTGGATTTAGATCTTAACGCCTCCCCCGACGCGCAACACGAGGTGGAGCAAAGCGGCGGAAGCGCCACGTGTACCGCCGGATCCGCGGAGGCGGAAAAGCCGCAAAAGCGAAAGCGCGGCGGGCAACAACCGATCAAGACATGCCCGAAATGCGGGAAGCAGTTTTCCACGGGGCAGGCCCTCGGCGGACACATGCGGAAGCACTGGGACGGCCCTCTAAACGTTAAAACGAAGCAGCTATTGGCGCATACTAACGGCACGAGCGTTAGCGAGGCGTCGGAGCTAGCTATTGCGGCTCGAGTGGCGAAACAGAGGAAGATCAGCGACAGCGGCGATGTGAAAGGCGCGAAGAATGTGACGAGGGATCTTGATCTCTCGCTTAGTTTGTGACAATTAGGGCTCGAACTAGAAGCTTGCAGTTCGATTTGTTGCGTTTGTTTATAAGGACTGTCCTTCAAACTCACATGTACTTTCTCATATAAGGTATGTTATTAATATGCTTCTACTTCGTCTTCCATACCCACAGGCATAGGGTCATCTTCCCATGCTCCCAGCCAAACACGAGGAAGGTAGCGCAGGGGTTGGCTGGGTGATGCTGTCCCGAGTGCTTTTCTAGCGCACCTCAACTTGGTTGCTTGCACACAGGTGGCCAAATATTTGCACACCCCTTGCGATGTGACTTCATATGCACCCCAATACACTGTATGCACACACGGTGGCGGGATCTGAAGGGTACATGGTACCGTATATCAGGAACTAGGGCCATCCTGGCGAGTCATGAATATGGAGCTTCCCCATCCGTATGATACTCATGAATCCAAACGGCATTGGCCGGTTGTACCAGCTGTAGTAGAACGTATCCGGAACTCTCTTCGGCCCGACCTTGCTTCTCGGGCAGCTCTTGAAATTTGGGAACTTTTTGTAGATGACCGACTGCTTGGAAGTAATCCCGAAGTCGTTCCGCCAGTAGTGGGCAAATTTAGCCCTCGCAGGCCTGGAAATGTTGACTTTTAAGTAAGTGTTGAGTTTCCCGCTTTCCACTGTAGGCAGCCGTTCGCAGTATCTGAAGTCAAGGTCATGATCCGAGGTCTGCACGGTGATCAGCTGAATGGTGTTGTTTGTGGGCAGACCGCTACAGTAGCCTGTCCTTAGTCCCGACAGGGTTCCTGCCCTCCCAATGTTGCAGAGGTACCCATTAATCGCCCTTTCCTTGCACACGGTAGGGAACCATGGGTAGGCCTGTAGTGAGGGTGACATGGGGATTGGGAGATAAGGATCGGAAAGGAGGGGAGTGGTCAGAGACCAGAGGAGAGGATGGAGGAGGAATGGTAGCTGCTGGTAGGTTGGAATGAGACCGATGAAATACGGGGGATGAAGTGACAATGGGAAGGGCTCAGGAAGGTTTTCAAAGGAGGGAGTAGTGACCAAACACACCTGCAATATTGCGGGTGAATTGTAGTATTTTAGCCGCATTTGCTCCCAGTACTGTCCAGAGTGTGTGAGGCAGTTGTTGCTCGTGGGGGTGAAGCATGCGACCCAACCAGGCGTATTCTGCGTCCCCTTCATAATCACGTCTGTTATGACGTTCCTGCAATCACAATCACAGTTCCAATCAAAGAGAACATTCAAGTTGGGACTAACCATCACAGGAGGGTGCTCTAGCATCAACATAGAATGTCCGCCACTCACCATTTCCCATTGTTGACCTTCATTCCATCAAACGTGTTCACACACGCCCCTCCGCGAATCTTGATTCCCGACGAAACGTAATCCAGATAGTAACAATGGTCTCCGTTGAAAATGTAGTTGCACTCTGCAACATTCCCCGGATTGAAGTAATGTGTACAGTAATATATTCCAGCAGCGTCTTGGTCGCCCGACATATTCCGTCCAGACGCGACGATTAGATTGTTGCTGATCGTCGTCAGCATGCAATCCCCCTGGTTGTGCACGTCAGCCCCGCACCGAATCCCCGCGAATAAGAAGTCGTGAATGTAGTTTCTTCTGACCAGCACCCCAACTGCACCGTTTAGAAGTGTGATTGGTTGATCCACACCTGGGGGAAGTAGCAGCGAAGGGGGAGAAGGGGACGTGTGATGTGAGGAAAGAATGGAACGGGAGAGAAATCTAAGTAACTGATGTCAGAAGCTGGACATAACCCATCAGTAAGATAAGATAGGCCACTCAGCGAGTGGTATCTAACCACTTACCGTACACTTCGTTGTTTGTAATGGCGACCCACGACCTGAGGAGAGCAGGCCCATACCCCGAAAAGGACACTCGGATAACGCCGGGGGACTTGACGAACAGTGGTAACCCGGTACCCTTCATGCTGTCTACACGCGACGACATGGCTCGGATAACATCGATTCGCCCGTAGAAAGAGCCCTTGGCGACCTGCGTGTTGTGCACGCGCCACAGCATTATTGTAGGGCACGTGTTGCCCGACCCAAGATCCGTGTACAGGAAATCAGTACACTCCGGGGACCGCATTGTTACACCCATCCAGAAATTAATGCGCAGGATGATCACGTTGCTGGTGTTCGCTATAAGCAGCAGTGGCTCCGTGTCCCCCATATAAGCAATCTTGTAGTTTGCTTTAGCTGCGCTCGACCGGAAGATGGTGCACCGATATGCAGCGCCGAAAACAAGTCCCTTGGAAAGCGTGATGTCATTGGCCAATTCCAAGATAACGGTTTGATTGTTGGGGTACTGTGTCCGCTTAGCAATATCGTCTTCGGTTGTGACTGTAATGAGTATGGCGTCAGCGAGCGGAGTGCACGGGCCCACCGCATCCCCTGCCGCCACTGCAGTGAGGGAAGAGGTGAGCGAGGAGAAGGGTGAGGAAGGGAGGGGAGGGGAGGGAAGCAGGGAGAAAGGGAAGGAAGGAATGGGAGGGGAGAATTCGGTATCCGAACGGAACGAGGAGGAGGTAGGGTGCGGAAACAGGGAAGTGAAACGGAGAGAGAAAGGAAAGGGGAGGGAAGGAAACGGGAAGAGAAAGGAGCGACAGGGAAGGGGGAAGGGGAAGGAATGAGCGGGGGAGCAACGAAGGAGAGAATGAAAGTAGGCAGAGTGGCACTCACGCTTTCTCCGTCTCCGCGAAACGATGCCTTCTGCCACGTCATCAGTCACCTCCTGTATCGCCTCGTCTCCAGAAGTTGAAACGTACGCCTGGCCGTCCGCGTCGTGCCACCACCCGCCACGTCGGCGCAGCACGCGCGCCACGTCAGCAGCCCCCGCAGGATCGGCGCTGAGGTAGCGCCGGTGCTGCAGCAGTGTTGACGTGGACGAGCGGGAAGCTACCGCGCCGTGCCATTGACGCCATGCGGACACGAAGCGCATTAGAAAGTTGGGTTGCTGGAGATTGCCTGCGGAAAGGGGGCGAAGGAAAAGCGGGAGAGGGGGATAGGAGAGGGGGGGAGAGGGGGAAAGAGGGAGATGGGGATAGGGGAGGGGTGGGAAGAGGGGCAAAAAAGGAGAGGGGGAGTGGAGAGAGGAGAGTGGGTGGAAGTGAGACGGGGAGAGGGTAAAAGGGGGAGAAGGAGCCACAGGGGGAGGGGGACAGGGGAGGAGGGGGGAACAAGTAGTGGGTGAATGTAGCGGAAACGCGGATGGGACGACGCTGGGCAGGTTGCGGAGGGTAGGGAAACGGTGACGGAGCGAGGGGGTTCAAAAAGTGAGGGGCGGAAAGTCACACCAACACCGCACCAGCACCACACCAGCACCGCACCAGCACCACGACAGCACCTGAAGCTGAATCTGGGAGCGTGGCGAGGATAAGAACGAGCGCTGCGACAAGGAGGCAGTGCGGCCGGCCCATGGTGTCACCCTCGCGTTGCTTTCGATCCTCACTGCCGGAAATGATGATTCAGCTGCTCCTTGTAACACTTCTCCTGGAATGGTGATTCAGCTGCTCCTTGAATGGTGTAACACTTCTCCTGGAATGGTGATTCAGCTGCTCCTAATGGCGGCGTAAGATGCTACGAAACTACAGCGCCAGCGACGAGCGTGAAGGGGCCACTTGCGCAGCCGCGCTCCGCGAGGTGCCTATGATTTCGGCCGTTTTTGCCGGTGTTGCGCGTCGGTTTCGTATGTGAAGTTGAATCGCTGGGGAAAGCGGGTAGTATCTTCCCTCACTGCAAGTGCGCGCGCTGCTGTGCTTTGGGTCGTTATGATAAAACGAGTTTTGTAAAATCTACTGTGTACCATGCAGCTCTGTCCTCCTGATATGGTGAGAATATTTGTTGGTCGTGTCTAGGCGGCGCGTCCAGCTCAATTAATCCGCTTTGACGCTATGATATGCAGGCGTGCTGCTCTCTCATGTGATTCTCGCAACTGCCGGTCATGCATATATTGGAAGTTACATGCGCATGCATGTGTGCAAGTGCTGCTAGTGATTCTGAAAAGTTGGGGCAGATTTGGTGGACGAGGGTCAACAACATCTTCCGCTTGTGCCGCAACCAGGAGAGGAGGCGAATTTGAAAGGTTGAGTGAGCAAAGAAAGGTGGAGAGAGGCGCGCGACAAATGCGATCAGCTGGGGAAACTACAGGTGGATGGGTGGCGTTGCAATTGCGACAGAACAGGCGAGAAGTCGATGGTCTGATGTTGCCTTGCCACCGATCCAACAAAAAGTTGACTGCGCTGACAGGCGCAGCGCAGGTGGTTCTGGAACTTCGCTTCCGCCGCGCGGAAATTCCGCTCAGGTGGGCGAGAGGCTGGTTCTCAGCTTGAATTGCAGAACCTAACTGGGCTTCAACCTGATAAACCTGTGGTGGAGAAATCGAGCTCGACACAAGCACTTCATAGCACGTGTTCGTGAAAACGGCAAGTATTGTAAGCGATGGTTTTACAACAATGCTATATTCAACAAAGCACTTGTTTATAATACACTCCACAGAGCATACAAAGGATGACAACAAAATCAAGGCCAACCAGGAAGGTCATGGATGTGCAGCTTCCCCATTCTAATAACCGCCATGAAGCCCCATGGCATGGGCCGATTGTATGAGTTGTAGTAGAACGAGTCAGGGACACGTTTCGGCCCCACTTCAGACCATGGGCAGCTCTTGAACTTTGGGTATTTCTTGTACCGTGATCTCCCGCCTAGAAGACCCGGGGGTCTTATCCTAAATGTGCTCGAACTGGGTTGTGGGGTCTTATGTAACGACATGAAGTGCATAAGACCCCTGGACATCTATTAATTACTGAAAAATGGATTTTGTAGTGCAGTGTTGAAGAAATTCGAAATTTCTGTACTGAATTTCGGATTCCTTCACAGCGCGGAAATTCATTCTCAGATTCTCGCACTCGAGTCTCCCAGATTCCTTTCCGCACGTTCAGAAATGCCTAATAATGACAGGCACGCCAGCATTTGTTGCCTGAAGGGCGGCAAAAACGCGTGATTGATGTAGCATCTTGACTCCCTTGACCACAAATTCGCCTGACAAAGTGAATTTGGTGGTTTTTTGTGTGACTCGCTAACCAGCTCATGAACTAACACCACTCATTATAGCCTAAGGGGGGGTCTTATAATGATTTGGGTCAAAAGACGGGTCCTCTCCAGGACTGACTTAATAAAAGACCCCTGGTCCGGATAGAAGACCCACGGGGCTTTTATGCGGGGGGGTCTTGTAACCGGGAGATCACGGTATATGACCGAGTCCTTCGATGCAACGCCCAAATCATTCTTTCGGTAGTCGATGAAGGCTGCTCGCCTTGGCCGTTGGATCCTCACTATGCTATGGTCGTTGAACTTACCCTCGAGAACTGTAGGGAGCTTCTCGCAGTATCTATAGCCCATTTCATAGTCGGTGGTGTTAACAGCAACTAGATTGACAGTGTTGTGGGTAGGAAGGCCGCTGCAATGCCCAGTTTGAGCGCCGGTCAGTGTGCCCCTTGCATCGGTGTTGCACTTCTTTCCATTCACAGTCCTCGCCTCACAGATTGATTTGAACCACGGCCACTTCTGCTTGTCCATGAGATTGAATTGGATGGCAAGAAGTAGAGGAGGGGTGGAAAAGAAGAGGGGAAAGAGGGTAAATGGGAGTATAAAAAAGTTACGGCTGAAAAGCCTGTTGGTCTACAGGATGAACAGGGCAAGAAACACTGACCTACAGTGACTATACAGCAACATATGGCAGAAAACGTGGATCAACAGTGCGCAAACGATTATGTAAGCATGAACAATGCAACAAATCGAGGCATATCAGAGCACGGCTGTGAACACACCTGGTTGATGACCGGCGAGTTGTAGTACTTAATGCGCATCTCCTCCCAGTAGGTCCCCGGCTTCTTGGCGCAGTTGTTGATGGTGGGCGTGAAGCACTGGCACCACCCCGGAATGCCTATCGTGCCCTTCAAAATCACATCCTCGATCACATTCCTGGGATGGGATAGCACACACAGCCGGGAAACGTCACGAGCCCTGAGAGCAGTGGCACGACAAGAAGAAACATTATTCAAGGAATAAGGCATTACCGGGGTAGTTAAACGGCCGCTTACCAGTGGCCGTTGTTGACTTTCAAGCCGTCGTACGTGTTGATGCACGCGCCGCCGCGGATAATAACCCCCGAAGTGGCGTAGTCCAGATAGTAGCAGTGGTCGCCATTGAAGATGTAGTTGCACTCCGCGATGTTCCCTGTGACGAGAAGCCAGGAACGAGAGTAGCGAGAGATGAGACCGCTGAGGAGCAAGAGAAGATGTAATTGGTCGAACTCAGATCAACCATGGCTGGGCACAGAAGCCACTGGCAGCGGTGCAAATGCCGTGCTGCACACGACAGCTATTGTGAGCCAGCCCAAACCACATCCAGCCCACACGTAGGCCTTTCAATCTCACCTGGGTTGAAAAAGTGAGTGCAGTAGTAAATCCCAGCCGCGTCGTGATCGCCCGACATGTTCCGCCCCGACGCGACGATCAGATTGTTGCTGAGCGTCGTCAGCATGCAATCCCCTTGGTTGTACACGTCAGCTCCGCACCGAATCCCCGCGAATAGAAAGTCGTGGATGTAGTTGTTCCTCGCTGTAACCCCCACCGCGCCGTTTTGAAGCACAATCGGCTGGTCTACACCGTACACCTCGTTATTTGTCAGCGACACCCAGGCTTTCAGCAGCGCAGGGCCGTAACCTGAAAACGCTACGCGAATAACTCCTGGCGACTTGGCGAAAAGCGTTAACCCTGTACCCTTCATACTGTCTATTCGTGTAGCCATGGCACGAAACACGTCGATCCGACCCCAGAAGCTTCCCTTTGCGACCTGAATGTTATGGGACCGCCAGATATGGATCGTAGGACACGTGTTATCTCTGCCTATATCGGTGTCTAGTAGCAACTCGCATTCACCCGACCGCGCCGTCACGCCCAGCCAAAAATCCAGCTTTAAGATAACCACGTTACTGGTGTTCCACACTCGAATCACCGGCTCCTTGTCTCCCATTAGAGACACCTTGAAGTTTCGCTTCCCCTGGGCTGACCGGAAAATTGTGCAGCGGTAGGCACCGGAGAAAACGAGGCCCTTGGGAAGGACGAGGTCGCGGGTGACCTCGAGAATGACGGTGACGGAATTGGGGTACTGTAGGCGCTTCTCGATGTCGGACGGGCTTGAAACGGGGATGATCTTGGCTTCCGAGAGGGGGGTGCAAGGTCCCTTCTGCTTCTTCGTTTCTGTCATCATGACAGAGTGAGTAAAACGGAAGGGGGCCGAGACGTGTGGGAAGAGTTAGAGGAGAGGAGGTACGGAAGACGTATCGACCGGGGAATGGGCAAGGGAAAGACAACAAACACGCAAGAATAAGGCGGGAACGGAAGAGAAAGCTAGTGGATGCGGGAGGGTCTCCATGCCACGTACGCAGTCGACGACGCCGTCCGAGAGGCGTTGCCACGTCATCAAGCGAGTGGTCGGTGGGATCGATCCCAGGAGTCAGCGAGTACGGCCCGCCGTCCCCGTGATATTTTGTAAACGATGCCAGATCAACGTTCGCGTCAGCAGGATTCCCACTCAGGTGGCGTCGGTACTGAAGCCATAGCGACGGCCGCTTCGCCGCGCCACCCGCCGACCGCGGCGGATGATGCGCTGCTTGCCAGCTTCGCAGGAAGCGCCAGAAGAAATTCGTCCGGGCCGTATCAAGCGGAGGTGATTCTTGACTCAGAGACGACGCTGGTGATACCGACGACGCGGCGTGGATGTGGAGGAGGATGACAAGCGTAAGAATGCTCATCCTAGTGGTAGCAGCAATGGCTGAGCTGGCACGGCCTAGCAGTCGAGCCATCATCCGGATTCACGTGGTCTCCTCTTGACGGTTAGAGTTAGTCTGCGATGAGCGCGGGTCGCTGCAGTCGATTGGACGATCCAGCGCGGGTCGCTGCAGTCGATTGGACGATCCAGCGCGGGTCGCTGCAGTCGATTGGACGATCCAGCGCGGGTCGCTGCACTCAGTTGAACTACCGATTGTTCGTCGAGCAGGTACCTGAGGTCGATGAGGACCCTTATGGTTGATCCCTTGAGGTGGGGAGGGGCACAACCGACAACAATCGTCGATTGCTGATAGTAGATGTGTAATGTCGCTTAATCGGTCAAATATGGCGAATAGCGGCTGTCGAACCGTATTGAACTGCCTTGCTGGGAGACGGCAGAATGGTTACATACTCTCGTGAATCTTCACTACCGTTTCGAGACGCCTATTGCACGACAGGACTAATACAGCTGAATGTAAATGTGGCTGCCAAGCAGACGTGCACAAGTGTCGGAAGAACACACCTCGGACTCACACGGGCGTGGTGACTTGGGTAAATCAAGCTTGGAGAAATTGGAAGTGGCCCCTGCACGGCGCCCCACCCCACATTACGAGTCGCGAGGGGTCGTTTCCCCCTCAGTTCCTCCTGGGGGAGGTGTCTCGGTTGGCTGGGTGGGTGAGATGTGGTTGGCGAAAAACTCCTCACGGTCCCTTGGCGAGACGAGGCGAGGCGACGTATCGGAATGAATGCGAACCAGGGAAGGCGAGCCCCGCACAGTACAGGACTGATGGCAGACGGCCGACCTATGCACCCGGTACATGTATGCTGGTGCATCCATTGTCCCCAACGTTGTGGCCTTTCTTCCAAGATGACAGCCGAACTGGCAGCCAGCTTCGGCTCTGCTCCACACCTTTTGGCCACAAGTTTTGACAAGATTCATGGAGAGTACATACACTTACATCTCTGTCTGTGGTCGACACCTGATATACACGACGCCGAGACCTGCGGAGTGTGCTGGAAAAATAGCTGCGCCTTGGGATGGGATGTAGGCAACTAACACCCTCTTTTTGGTTTAGGTCATCACGCTTTACAACTCTGAGAGAATGCATGATCAAACATATAATGGAATAAAGTATGAAAAAAAATGAATTATATTTCAAATTTTAAAGATTGTGACAAGACTTGTAAAGGAGCATGCAGTAAGGAGTCAAGTGCTCCTTATCTTGTGGCAGGTCCACGGACCTGCCACCTAGTCCATTTCATTCGTAGACCTGCTACCTATGACGACTGCTCTGCAGACTCCTTGAAGAGTCTTGTCTTAATCTGGAAAATGTAAAGAGTGAGGTGCCGCTGAAGCTGAGGCTAGGGATTCTGGAATCAAGCTAGGCGTGGGGCTGAGCTTTACGAAGCAAATAGCCAACCATGCCAGCTTTTCTGCTAGTCTACTCTGTAATGGGTGCAACATTCCTGGAACACCCTACCCTGTTTCTGGAGAAAGGGGAGGGAGGGAGAGGGGCGTGTGAGAGGGAGAGGGAGGGGAAGTTGGGGGAAAGATGGGCTTTCAGGGAAGGAAGAAGGGTACAGTATTGCACAAGTCCTAAACTACCGTACCGGTACTAACCCTACTGTTTGTTCCTCTCTACTAAATAAATCCAAATTGGACATGCTCTTGTAGAGGTAGCTAGCTGGTTGCATTGCATTGCATGCATAATGCCTAGCTTAGTCACAAGTGCCTGAAGTACCCTAAGCACACCACCATTCACAGCCTCCCCACACCCACGGTCATCGAACTTAAATCGCTGCGTAGTAGAATCAGGGGAACTAGACGTAGAGGGCAACATGCATATATCCGACTTCTAAACCCCAGGATTCGATGATGAATGCCTAACGGTACATTCTCACAGCGCGTCACAAAAGCCTCGCATCTCTCAAACGACAAGATACAGTGCGGTGGGAATGCTCGATTCTCAGCTGTAATGAGGCGCAGAACAGTTCATAGGTTTTGTGACGGGATTGAGACACAAATGTCCATATGAGAATGTACCCTAACTTACAAGTTCCAAATGCTCGATGCAGAGTAACAAGACAGCAACAATGCTTTCCCTAGGATAACAATACGAAGATAACTCGTGTTGACTTCACGAAGATCGTAGCATCCACACGAACCTACTCTTGGACTCCGACAGCCGGCTAGTAGCCCTGGCCGATGAGGTAATCGCCCAGGTTCTCAACAACAATATTGCAGTCAGCTGCCGTCACAGGCTCTTCGAAAATGCCGAAGACTAACGCACTGCCAGTCTTCTTGATGCAGCAACCACGGGCCTTCCGGCCCTGCAAGCATACCGACCAGGTAAAGGCCTCCGATTCAGGAAAACATTTAACAACGAAAGCTGCGACGGTGATAGGGACGCGAAAGAACGAGATAATACCTTTTCCGGGTTTTCTTTCTGTCTGCCACGAACGACAGCGCCAGGGTCACCCGCCACCATCATGAACTTCTCTTCACCCAGAAACAGCCCATTTGACGCCAGCTTCGTCTGTGGATTGTCGAACGCGTCAATAATGCCGTCGAGCTGCGTTTTAGTGACCTGATAATCAGGGTGGGGGGGAGGGGGGGGGGAGGAGGAGTAAGTCAGTTCACGCGTCAGCAGAGATAAAAACCATAACCATACGAGGTTCTTATCTTACCACTGGCATTTCAGCGCTCTGCGCCCAACAGGCACCATCCTCCTGACAATAAAGTGCAGCCGCCTTCAACTGCCCTCCGTGAGGAAGGGCACACATCAGGTGATCATCCACGTAGGATTGCCAAGACATGGTTGGATGAGGATAGAGAGTAGGGGTGGTGTGGTTGTTCGCAGGAATGCAAGATGCAGGAATCCGCTGGAGAAATTTTGATGCTAGAATGTGGGGTTTGAGAATGCTGTGTGATGATGGAAGACCTTTTCCCCCCCTCCCCACGCTCGATAAATCCCACGCAGCCCCACCCGCCCCGTGCTGGTGCTTTGCGGAGCCATCCCCGCAAACCCAACCCGCGAGCGGAAGGCTTCGCCTGAGGGGCGGGGAGCTTCACCCGAAAAGCCTAGTTCATTCCAGAAGCGGCGAAAATCGGAGGTCCCGTTGATGCGGGCACCCAGAGTCAGCAGCACGGGGCTGGCCATGGAACGGTAATTTGGGCAAAATTGCCACGCGGCAAGCAGTGAATGGTCGTGTCCACGCCAGCTTCCAAGATTTTGCTGACCACACCACCAATGACTTGAGCTTCCAGATGGCACCCTCCTCCAGAAATCTGAACATGTCCAACCACCATTCATGACATATAAAATTTTGCAACATGAATCTAGAAGTCTACTATCCGGAACAATTCTTTGAGAAAGTAAGAGCTGGCTCTCCATGTTTTAAAAACAAAGTCAACATCCTGTTTCTACTTGAACCCTGTGAGTTAAACTTAAAATAAAAAATCATGTGAACATAGTATATTTGCACCATGTCTTATCCTTACGTACAATGCTTTTGCCACATTTTCATCATAGTTGCTCGAAATCTTAAAATAGGCTAGGAGACAAGTGTCGAGAGTGATAGATTGAGTAAGGAGAGACAAGGAGATACAAATGTCGACCTAAAGTGTTGTACCCTTTAGAGGGCAACTCACTGTAGCCTATCTAACAATACATAGAATATATAAACATTTGACACACCCCCATAGGCTAAATGAGGGGCATCAAAACAACCAACGGAAACAAAGGGTCACAAGACCGGTCAAGAACAAGCATAAAAAACAAAGCTCAGGGTGGCGCTCAGAGTCACTACACACTCCGAGCACAAGCAAGTGGCCACAAGGCCAGTTCAAGAGTTTACTAGTATATATAGAAGCACAACAAGTAGAGCAAACAGCAAGTCTACAGCAACCGAGGGCCTACCTCAACAAGCCCCAACTGCACACAGAACCTGTGGTGGTCACCAGGCGCCAAGGCCTTGGTGAAGACGTCGGCAGTGTTGGCCTGTGAGGCCACAAAGTCCAAGCGTGCCTGGCCGCGTCGCTGCAACTCTCGCAGGAGGAAGTACCTCACGTCAATATGCTTCACTCTGCTCTCCAGTCGAGGCTCTCGACACAGGAGGATCATGGCCTTGTTGTCAGCGTACAAGGTCGGTGCAGAGCGAGGCCGCTCACCAAGGTCGGCGAGCAAGAAGGTCAACCAGCGAAGCTCCTGTGCCGCCATGGCACCAGCGTAGATCTCTGCCTCTGCACTGGAAGTAGCCACAGACGACGACCGTGTAGACCTCCACGACACAGCACCAGCTCCCAGACTGAAGCAGTAACCCTGAGTCGAACGCTGAGTCTCCACGTCGTCAGCGTAGGAAGAGTCGCAGTGACCAGTCAACGCCACTGGCTGAGTCCCTCCAAGCACAAGCCCCATGCCTGATGTAGTCGCCAGGTACTTCGCCACCCTCACAGCAGCTGTCCAGTGGACAGGGCGGTGTCTCCCAGTCGCAACAAAGCGAGAAAGGATGCTGAGTGGAAAGGCGAGGTCCGGTCGAGTACAAGTCATCAGGTACATGAGGCAGCCCACCAGCTCTGCGTAGGGTCCACTGGACTCAAAGGGCTCGTCAGGAAAGGGGCCCGTGAGTCTGTGGTCAACAGCAAGAGGAGTGGGCTGTGTGGTGGAGAACTGGAAGTCGAACCGTCGAAGGACCTGCTGCACCATGTGTGACTGCGTCAGTGTGATGGTGCGAGCGGCTCTGTCCCGGGTGATCTGCAGGCCAAGGTAGCGCTGCAGCTCACCCAGGTCAGTGCACTTGTGTCTCTTCTGCAGTTCGGACTTCACCTGAGCCAGGGCTGCCCTGTCTGCTGTAGCAAACACCAAGTCGTCGACGTAGACAAGGATAAAGAAAGGAGTAGAACCCGCTCGAACAAACAGCGACGGGTCAGCGGAGGACGGGCTGAACCCAAGGTCACGAAGCGTGGAGCGAAGCGTGTCGTGCCACTCACGGGGCGACTGGTGGAGACCGTAGACTGGTCGCCTCAGGCTCCACTGGGTCCCAGGTGGGAAGGTGTCAGTGAAGCCAGGAGGACGGCGCAGCCAGATCTCCTCGTGCAGTCGGCCCTGGAGGAACGCAGTGGAGAAGTCGAGGGAGTGCAGCTCGTAGTCACGCTGCGCTGCTATGTGGAGTAACACCCGAAGAGTAGTCATCTTCGGGGTCGGGGCGAAGGTCTGGAAGAAGTCAACTCCCTCACGCTGACTGAAGCCCCTAGCCACGTAGCGCGCCTTGAACACCGGCGGTGCTCCAGGCGGCCGCTTCACCTTGAAGAGCCACATGCCATCGACTACGTTCGCCCTGGGAGGGGGAACTGCGTCGACGTAGGTGCCTGTGGATCTCCAAGACGCCAACTCTGAGTCCATAGCCGCTTTCCACTGAGAGGCCCACGCCCCTGACACTGCCTCGCGGTAAGTGCGAGGAGTCGGTATGTCAAGGGCGTCGGGGTCTCCCTCAGGGGAGAGCAGCATGGCACACACAGAGGGAGAAGCGGCTGCCCAGTACTCCAGCTCAGACTCTCTGTCCTCTAGGACGTCACAGCCAAGGGCAAACCCACCCCCGACGGACAGAGGACGGTAGGGAGGAGCTGGCACCACACGGGTGGCGTAGTCAAGGCGGCTGGCGGCAGCAAACTCAGCGACAGCGGCAGTAAGAGCCGAGGCAGACGACGGAGGGAAACGAGAGTCGGTGATAAGAGTGGCGAGGACACGTGCGGCAACAGGACGAACAACGCGGTAGTAGTCAGAGATAGGAGTGGGGAGGGCTGGTAGGGAGGACGGAGGAGGAGACGGGAGAACGGACACAGGAGAAGGAGAACGACGACAAGACGAACAAAGGAGGGCAGTGTGGAGGTCAGTAACAGGGGACGAGTGACGAGCACGCGGAGGACAACGAGTGATCAGGTCGCGACGGACAGAGGGAGGAGGAGAAGACCAGACCGCCGGACGGTCGTCAGGAGGAGGCAACGGAGGAACAAACACAGGAGGAGACTGGGAGCGGACAGGAGGAGAGGAGGAAAGGCCAAGGGCCCGCAGGCCACTCACAGGTGGGAACAACCGCCGCTCCAGAGGAAGCTGCGGTGGCGGCTGCGGCCGCTGCTGCTGCGGCTGCGGCTGCTGCTGCTGCGGCTGCGGCGGCGGTTGCGGCTGCTGCTGGTGCTGCTGCTGCTGCTGCTGCCGCTGCTGCTCCAGAAGGTCCAGCACTCGCAGCTCCTGCCGCTCCCTCTCCAACCGCTCCTGCTCCTCACGCTCACGCCGACGGGCAGCCTGGAGACGCGTGTCGTGGCGGTGGGGAGGCGGAGTGAACTCCGCAGAACCAGGGTCTCCAGCGTCAGTCCCCTCAGACTCAGCACCCCCAGAACCAGCACCGCCAGTGCCAGGACCTCCAACTCCAGCACCCCCAGAACTAGCACCGCCAGTGCCGGCACCCCCAACTCCAGCACCCCCAGAACCAGCACCTCCAGTGCCGGCACCTCCTGCTCTAGCACCCCCAGAGCTAGCGCCACCAGCGCCAGCACCTCCAGCTCCAGCACCCCCAGAGCTAGCGTCACCTGCGCCAGCACCTCCAGCTCCAGTACCCCGCGACCGAGCACCCCCAGACCGAGCACCGCCAGCGGCTGCACCTCCAGCTCCAACACCAACCGAGTCCACAGTAACCTGTCGCGGAAGTGCCGAAGGCTGCTGAGGGGACTGTGAGGAGGACTGCGGGGAGGGAGACGCTACCTGACGCACGACCGAGGGTAGAGGGGTAGCGTGGGACACACCAGCGGGGCAGGACCAGGGGGGGGCGGGGGTACCGGAGGAGCGGGAGCAGGAGGAGGAGAGGGTGCGAGGAAGAGAGGGGGAGGGGGTACCGGGAGACCTCGACAGGGGTACCGGGTGTAGTAGGACACGGACTCGTCAAACCGGACGTCACGGGAGTCTAGGAACTGGTGGAGGGGAGGGTGGTAAAAGGACCAGTCAGCAGAGTCCACTGGGAAACCAAGGAAGACACAGGGGACGGCGCGTGCCGAGAGCTTGTCCGCGGAGGTGTCGCGAACAAGTGCAAGGCAGCCCCAGACTCGAAAGGCCGACCCAACACCAGGGGATCCAGTCCAAAGACTGGTCGGTGAAGCCTCGGGCCGCGAGACACGCGGCTGGAGGTTCAGCTGGTGTGCGGCGTAGCGAACCGCGTGGGGCCACAGAAAATGGGGCGCACGGGCACGAATCATGGACGTGCGGGCGATGTCCATGACCAAGCCTATGCGGCGCTCAGCAACCCCATTCTGCTGTGGGGACTCTGGCAACGTCCAGGACTGGGTGATGCCCTGTTCGCCGCAGAATCCGCCGAGAATGCCGGAGCGAAACTCGCCCCCACGGTCGGAGTGAAGACAACTGACTCGACGACCACGAGTGCCCTCAGTGGCTAGAAGCCACCTGATCAGCGTAGCAGTCACCTCGGACTTCTTCGCAAGAGGGAACACTGTGGTGTACCTGGAGAAGTCGTCGACGACCACCAGAAAGTAACGCTCCCTCCCAGACCCCTGCGTCGGGGCAGGGCCCCAGACGTCCAAGTGGAGAGTCTCGAAGGGAGCGGTGGCCGGACGAAGGGAGGAGGAGTGGGGAGTGGCGCGTAAGCGACCGGCGACGCACGGAGAGCAAGGAGGGGCAAGCGAGAGAGGGAGCGACGGGAAGGTGCGTGGGAGACCTGTGACTAGTCCCTGACTGAGCATGCCACGAAGGCGAGGGATCGACGGGTGGCCAAGACGGTGGTGCCACAGGACGGTGCGGTGGGCGAGAGAG